CATTGCAAAGGAGACAACCGACAGACAGATGCACGGCTTTCGAGAGCCTGCTAAACTCCGTCTGCTCCACTGGCTCTGAGTAAAATGAGGGCTGTAAGTAGACTGCGTTGAAAGACAGACACCCTAACCTGCACGGGGTGAGGGCTCTGACCATAGTACTGACATTTCCTTTTAAAGGGAAATGTATTCGACATTCTCTCTGTACACAAAAACTCAGCAATGTTGCTGATACACATAAGTCCTGTCTAATTTCCTGGCCCTCACTGAGATAGGGCAACTCAGTGAGCCATTTAAATCTCAAGTTTCACCCTCCCCCTGACACATCAGCTAACTACAGGAAGTAGAAAAAATGGTTCAGGCTGAGGTTAAGGGGCACTTTAGACTTATCTAAAATGCTCTAATTTTTTTTTTAAAGAATCTATTCTGGTGTAACGTTTTAAATTAATTAATTAAATTAATTTATTCTGATAAAAAGAAGATAGTATTTGTAAGTTCTGACTGAATCTATTTGGAAAGAAAACTAGGCTGCAACACCGAGGACGTAACTTGGATTGTTTCAGGTATAATCTACTCAACATACTATAGAGAGACTGCATTTTAATTTATTCATTAGCCAAAAAGATAAATCCTTTCATTTGCATGAAATAAATATTAACAAACTATTTTGTCATCAGAACATAAGACAGCAAAAATATTAAGTTGCCATGGTAACATCCAATCATGGGCCTTTAATAAAAACAAGTGCAGGCCAGGGTCAGTGACACCTACACACATGAAAGGAGGTGCAAGGGCATTCTCTGCAGCAGTTAACAAACACTCACTAAACATGTTACCAATGCGCAGAACAGCCCTGTGTTCCTGTCTCTAAGAACGCACATACATGATGAGACCACAGGGGAAGTATTAGTACAGGACTGTATAACATGAGGCCCAAACAGCAGCGGAAGGGAAGGTCACAAGGGACAATGCCTGAACTACCAACAACCCAGATAACCCAGCTAAACTGCGGCTGTGCAGTCGCCTGTTGCGAGCATGCTTGGTTTACAGAAGAAGGTGGTTAAAGCCACTTGCACCTGAGAGGTTGATACAGGAAAGAGAACAAAACAGAAGCATGACGCTAGGCTGACTTGTTAAATGTAAAACTGCCATCTGGTGGCAACGTAAGGAAATCCACTTCAAGAAATGGATGAAGAGGGTGTGGAGACAGTGACACAGAGTCTCAAGTGCTCAAATGAAAAGAGCATTATTCTCAGGTATATATTGTAAAACTGCTTTAGGATCGTTTGTGAGAAAACTACTTTATAGAATCAGCTAAAAACATGTCTCAGAAAGGGGATAAAGGTAGCAACTACAGCAAGGAAAGCAATGGTTAGACTGTCAACATTAAAGAAAACTTCTGAAGGAAGTAAATAAACCATCAGCTGTGATTATATAGAAACATCATATATACATAAAAAGAAGAAAAGCCCAAGCACGAAGACGGACAGACACCTGCAGCTCCTATCCACCACCCTGAACTACCAAGGGGATCTAAGTGTCACTTTCAAGAGGCATTACACATCAACGCAGTCTGAAGCTGAGCAGCCACTCAGATGGAGGACACTGCACACTATGTTTTATTCTGACTTTCACAGGATGCTACTTATATTTACCTTATGCAAGAGCATTTAAACACAGATAATAAAACAGCATGGCTATTGAGCTGATTTGTTAAGGTGCAGTTATGTGTCAGGAACGTCAGCATTGTGGTAAAGGCTGTACAAAGCTGCACAGGGGCTGCCTCCACACAGGGCAGCACCGGTTTCCATTCCTTTGGAACGCCACTGTGCGAGCTGGGAGTGTGGAGAGCAGACATGAGCATCCCAGGGAGAGCTAGCCGCGAGAGCAGATAAACAGCAGACAACAGAACAGCAAGAGCTGCCTTACTGATGGGAGTCGGTCACTTACGGAGTGTACTCATTTTACAATTCTGACTGACACAAAGAAGAGACACTTTATCTCTCACGTGGAGGGAGAGCCTTTCAAAGCAGAGAGGCTTACTCCAGATAGGCACTTTCAATGTAAAACTTCAACTGCTCAACCAAGTTTAAGATGTTAAGAGCGTTATTTTTAAGAAAATAAATAAAAGTTAGTAAAATACTACCTTACAGCACTGTTCAAAAATTACATTACTGCACAGAGATGAATATATCTCCATATTTTACTCTTAAAGGACACCCAAGATACAAATAAGATCAATTTACTTAACTGTTGTTTTCTACTCTAAAAACATTTCATTCAGTTAAATAAGGAACTCAAGACGTATCTTTATTTATCTTGATGACACTTAGATTGAGTTTCAGTTTAAAGATACGACAAGGCTGAAGGTCAGCACATGTTTCTGAGAGAGGTTCCATTCTGGTAGTGGCCACACCTCCGTGACCCCGCCCACTCCCATCTGATCTCGCAGCCTAAGCAGCTGTCTAGTACCTGGATGGATACAAATGTCACATTCGGTGACTGTGTTATACACTAAAACCATCAAAAATAAAGAGTATGAAACAGACTACACCAAGAATCTTCCTATCACCTGATGGGGGGATGACCTTCTGTACGCTGTGAATACGTGTTTCTCTTACTAGTTGATGAATAAGCTCATTCAACCAATGGGCAGGCAAGATTTAGCCAGGTGGAAAATCCAAATAGGGATAGAGAAAGGTAGGAGGCAGAGTCAGGGAGACACCATGTAGCTGCAGCTGCCGGGAAGGTAGGACACTCAGGCGTTCTCCAGTAAGATACGACCACATGGAAATACACAGATGAACAGAAATGGGTTAACAATTAAGAGAGAGCTAGCCAGTAAGAAGCCTGAGCCATCAGCCAAAGAATTTAAACTTAATATAAGTCTCTGTGTGTTCATTTGGGAACAAACGGCTGTGGGACTGGGTGTGACAGAAACTTCTGTCTACAATCACTAGTCATGCAAACCAATGTAACTATTGTTGTTTTAATCAAAATATGTACATTTACTTTAACAAGATTACTTGAAAATTAGGTAAGACTTCAAACCTCTAAAAAGTATTTATAACCATGCCAGATATTACACTTTCTAACCATCCCATTATTTCATTAAATAAATGGCAAAGCTTTTATCTCATATGAGTAATTCTAGAGTATACCATTTCCTACATCCACACAAATAACTGGCAACAAGCTCTTCACCTCTCAAAAGCTTTAGCTTCCAGAAATTCCTCTTTAAAGAGCATCACCACCATACGCTTTTAACAACTCGGGAAAGTGACTTGAAGCCTGTGATGCAGGGCCTCGGGCCTCTCACTAAAAGCTTTCCGATCTTCGTAACCAATGATGGAGGCCACTATCATTTTGTAATATATTTCTCCTTAATCTGTAATAAAGGGATGTTTTGTATGTTAGATTATAAATATGTGTATACTATATAAAAGACTGGCTTTTGTTAGATTTCAAGTTTGATTTTTAAATGCTAAGTTTATGTACTTATCCTCCATAGACATAGTTTTTGACTACTGACTAGACTCTAGACAAATAATCCTTAGTTTGGAGCTCAAGGTACTGAACATAGAAGCCTTAAATGACTTCTCCTTCCCAAACACTAGAGTTTTATTTTTAAAAGAAAAGAAAATTATTCAGAGAGCAGCAAGGAAGGCAATATACAACGTGCTCACTCTCCAACACTGTCAAAAAACTGTGCAGTAAGGGTCCATTCTGCGAGGGACAGAAACTGACCAAGAACAGAAACGTATCTGTCCCATATGGGGTGTTCAGTGGGTACAAGGTAAGCAAAACCTGAGTTCTGTGCAGGTAGCTAAGCAAGGTCTGGACAAAGAAGGGCAGAGATGCAGCTACGATTGCAGAAAATGAAACGGGTAATCAGCACAGCCCTCGCAAACAGGGGAACAGTGGCCCACTGACACCTACTGCAACTCAGTCCCCATGCGACAGAGCACCAACCGTCCTCGGCCGCTAAGGAGGAGATCCCAGTCCACAATACAGCCAACAACAGAAAATCTCAAAGCTCACATGGTTTCACTAGAAAATCCCATCCTGCCTTGCAGAATTAACACCAGTTCTAAACAAGGACGTTCATATGACGGAAGGAAGACATGCCATGTTGTACCAAGTCAGTATTACCATGACAGCAAAAGTAGATGTGGTGGGGGAAGTACAGCTTCCTACACACAAATGTACAACTATTTTCCTTTCTTTTTTCCTCTTCTAGAGCTGAGGGTAAAATCCAGAGCTTTATGGAGTGAGTCATCACTGAAGTGCAGTTTCAGCCTAAAATGCAAATGCCCCTCCCATCCTGCCCCTGCCCCTCCCATCCTGCCCCTGCCCCTCCCATCCTGCCCCTCCCATCCTGCCCCTGCCCCTCCCATCCTGCCCCTCCCATCCTGCCCCTGCCCCTCCCATCCTGCCCCTCCCATCCTGCCCCTGTCCCTCCCATCCTACCCCTCCCATCCGCCCCTGCCCCTCCCATCCTGCCCCTGCCCCTCCCATCCGCCCCTGCCCCTCCCATCCTGCCCCTGCCCCTCCCAACTGCCCCTGCCCCCTCCCATCCTGCCCCCTCCCATCCTGCTAGGCTGGGGTTGGAGGCAATTACGGACATTCACCACTGTGCCCAGATTTGCAAGAATTCTTAACAAAACATTAGCAATTCTATGGTTTGTTCTATAAATAAAAACAGGCTGATTTAATACCCTAAAATCAAACCTATGCAGCATACTGACGGGATGGGTGAAGACAAACCCCCTGCATGCTGCTGTGCAGGTAGTATCTGTAACTGTGTTCCGTCTGGATGAGAGCAACAGGCGCCACAGCTTAAAGCAATGTCTACACAAAGTTACTTCAAACTGTGCATGATAAATGGCTGAGGTTTGGAAACCAGAGACACAGAGTCTATCTAAGGCAGTGATTCCATGCTGATTTCTGGTCCCACAGGTAACTGCCTGCACACCCCTCACAGGAAAAGGCAAGCATCTCACCATAATTAAACTGGCTGTTGGACTTCTCACAGTTGATGATGTTGAACCTGTATGCAATGCCAGGCCGCATCCCGCTGACTTCAAAATAGAACCATTGGTGGTAATGGTTACTATTTATGTCTGAGTTCAGAATGAGGTCATACTCGCTTCTAGAAGACAAGACAAAGACACCTGATGGCAAGTTGGGAGTACCTGTGCACACACAAAATGGGAATGTTTAAATGGCTTACTTTCTAATTTGAATTACTTTGCGCAGATTCCCAGATTCAAATTTTGAGTTAAATTTCAAAACATCTCCATCTTCTGGAGTGGCATAGCTAAATAAAAGTTTTAAAATAAATGTATTAGAATATATCATACTTCAACAGATAAGCAAAGACTAAAACTAGAGGACAGATTAAACACACACACACACACACACACACACACACACACACACACACTGCTTCCCTCCTTTCTTTTAAAACAGAATATAGCAAACACAACAAAGAAAACTTTGACTTTCACTTATACTCAAATTATAATTACAAGAGACTTGTTCCCACATTATACCCATAATGACTTAGCCTTGCTGAATAAATGCCATTTCTAAAATACTGATTATCACATAGGAAAGGGTGATTTATTTTAAAACTGCTTGGTAAGTAGCCATAATTCTGACAAATCATGCAGTTTTTGCTTTTAGCTACGTGGAAGGGTTAGGTTTTTACCTGTCCCATGGCTGAGCACCCACAGGCCTGACCCTAAGACAATGAAAGCCCCCATTCTTCTCAAGATTCCAATCTCAAACAAGAACTGGTAAACTCTGTGCTCGGTCACACGTGTTAGGGACAAGCTTGGCGACTCTGTGCACAGTCACACGTGTTAGGGACAAGTTTGGCGACTCTGTGCACAGTCGCACGTGTTAGGGACAAGCTTGGTGACTCTGTCCATAGTCGCACGTGTTAGGGACAAGTTTGGCGAGCCCCTACTCAGGGTTCTGGGTGTGTTTTCCCAAACCTAACGGGGAAGCATGGACAATGAACTAACTACATGTTTAATAAATGTGTTACTCTTTCCTTGGGTAAGAATATTTTCAAGTCAGGAATGGTGACGCATGCCTCCTGAATCAGGAGGACTATTGGAAGTTGAAGGTCAGCCTGAGCTACAGTGGGAGACTCAGCCATGCACAACAACAAGAATACTCTAGATTCAGTCACCACCTTTGGCTGAGCTTTTACTCATGTCTATCAACAATCACTTTTAAAAGTTCGTTTCCTGCACGTGGTGACAGGTGAAATGTCAAATTTTCTCAGTGTACTGACATAATAAGGAGGAAGGCCCACAGAGAGCTGACTAAGTCTCTTATCTGAGTAGTTGTAATTTTTATTTATTTACTGCAATTAAATCCTGACATATGCTATCACTGATAACTTAAAAGTAGCAAATGGCTGGCTTGCCAAGACATAAGGCCAGGGTGGGACCTCCGGTGACTAGACTGGTTTGTGTTATCTTTCGTCTTTAAAAAAAAGAACAACCTTTACCATGACCATCCTAAACCTACCTGTTAAAGGATGAAAACAGCAACAATGAAGTGTGGGGAAGAGACGATAAAAGGGTAATTATTTATCGCTTAGAAATAACACTAATATTTCATTATAAAAACTGCAGCTCATGACTAGAGGGTTTTAGAACTCAGACTCACTTGGGGTTATCCAGGTCATACACTACCCGGTCTATGATGTCATTCTGGTGTATCAGCCTCTCAATGTCTTGGGCAATCTTTGTCCTGAAATCATACGAGACAAAGTTGATAAAATTCACAAAAGAACGCCAAGGAAATCAATGCACAACTCTGTCTGAAGTAAGTTTGGAAAGGGTATAAAATAATAATGGTGTAAAATAAAAATAATCTTTACTTGCACACAAAAAATTAACACACAAATACACAAAATAAAAATCAGTACATATCAAACTTTGAGCTTTAAATGCTAACCACAGAAAAGAACCATGGTAAAGCCTTGGAAAGGTGGGGGTGTTGGGGAGGTCACCTGCCTGCCCAGAATATCCATTAGGCCTCTCTATACAGAAGGCATTAGGCAAGTGATTCTGTGTGCATAATCGGAGGTAGGACAAAACCAGAGACTTAAGACATCCTGCTAGATATTAACCCACCTAGCTAGGAATTTAGCCCAAGAATCCAACTAGCAGTGTGTTATGGAATATTAATTTAAGATGTATTACATTTGCTTATACTGTGGAATATTTGTTTAATGATGCAAAGATGTGTTGCATTCTTTTATGCATTTGTTTAACTCTGTAGAGCTATGTTATTTTGCCTGTCTGGAACATCTGATTTATCTAATAAAGAGCTGAACAGCCAATAGCGAGGCAGGAAGAGAGAATAAATGGTAGGAGAAATCTAGGGAAGACATCGAGGAGGAGAAAAGGAGGAGAGGAAGGTGCCAGGGGCAGTCACTCAACCACACGACCAGCCATGGAGGAATAAGGAAAGGAAAATATATAAAACAGAGAGAGGTAAAAAGCTCACAGGCAAAATGTAGTTAAATCGAAGTGGGATGCTTTAAGTTAGAAAAGCTGGCTACATAAAAGCCAAACTAAGGTTGGGCGTTCATAAGAATAAGTCTGTGTATTTATGTGGGAGCTGATGGTGGGCGCCACAAAGATTAAAAAAACAAAAGGAAAAAAACTACAGCAGTATGCTTGCACGCTCTTCAGAGTCCCTTGCTGCATAGTGTGGGGAGGAGGGAAGCACCAGGCAGAACCAAGGTACAGCTACCTACACTCCAGTACACTGTGGTAACAGATCTAAGCGCGGTTAATAAAGTGATACAACCAATGGGCCGTTTACACTCTGGAATTCCTTTGCCTTCTCTATTGCCTAAAGGATAGCCTCTCATAGTTATTGATTTAAAAGACTGTTTCTTTAGTATACCATTACAAGAAAAAGACAGAGAAAATTTGCCTTCACAATGCCTACTTATAATAATTCTCAACCTGCTAAGAGATATCAATGGAAGGTTCTCCCACAGGGAATGTTAAATAGCCCCAATACTTATAATAATTCTCAACCTGTTAAGAGATATCAATGGAAGGTTCTCCCACAGGGAATGTTAAATAGCCCCAATACTTACAATAATTCTCAACCTGCTAAGAGATATCAATGGAAGGTTCTCCCACAGGGAATGTTAAATAACCCCATCCTGTGCCAACATTTTGTACAGCAGGCACTGGAATGTAAGCAATTTCCTCAATCTATAGTTTACCATTACATGGATAACATTTTACTATGTGAATCAAATGTAAATACTTTGGAGAAAAATTTTGACTTGCTGGGTATTACAAACAAATTACTCCTGAATAAAATCAATGAGGAAATTCTATTAATTATCCAGGCTATAAAATAGAATTACCAAAAAAAAAAAAAAAAAAAAAAAAAAAAAAAAAAACTAGACCCCAAAAGGTGCAAATTAGGAGAGACTGATGACAGACTCTTAATGACTTTCAAAGATTGCTAGGAGACATTTCCCATCTATGGCACATTATTGGTATAAAACCGGACCAACCGATTCATTTAAACAAAACCTTAGATAGTGATGAGGACTTAAACAGTCCCAGGGAATTAACAGCTGCAGCTGAGGGAGAATTGGCATTGGTGGAAGACAAAACACAGATGGCACATGTGGAGTGTGCGGGTCCAAGCTTGACGGCCTTCCAGTCTAATATTACCTTCTGAGTACTCCCCACAGGAACTGAAATGCAGAGCGGGCATTAGCATAGAATGCATCTTTTACCACATAAACTCAGTAAAAAGTTTAAAACTTATGTGGACAACATCTGTGAGTTGATTCTAAAACGAGAATTGAGACTTCATCAATTAGCAGGGATAGATCCAGCAGAAAATGTAGTACCTTTTACTAATGATGAAATTGACAAATTATGGGCAGAAAGTGAACCCTAGCAAAAAGCTTTTAGTAATTATTTTGGGAGAGATTAATAACAATTACCCCAAAAGCAAGAGAATTTGGCTTATAAAGAGGACTAACTGGATCCTTCCTTGCATTGTACGGGAAACACCAATAAATGTAAATAAATCAGGAAAGGCAGGTTATAAATCAGGAAATTTAAGTGAATCTAAGTCCTAATAATTCTGTCCAAAAGTCAGAATCATATGCTATTCTCATGGTGCTAATGGATCACAAGGAATCCCTCAATATAATTACTGATTCATTCCATGCAGAGAGAGTTGTTTTGCATATTAAAACTATTGTATTTATATCAGATGATACAGAATTGACTATTATTTATTCACTTACAAGACATAATCAGGGATAGGAATCATCCCATATATATATATATATATATATATATATATATATATATATATATACACACACACACACACACACACACACACACACATATATATATACATACATACATATATCACACATCTGATCTCATATGGGTCTGCCAGGCCCTCAAGCACAAGGTAATTATAAAATTGATCAACTATTGATAATAAATGTAATAAAGGCCTCAGAATTTCATTTAAAAAAACACTATGTCAATAGCAAAGGTTTGAAAAAACAACTTTTCCATTGCTTGGCAACAAGCCAAGGAAGTATAAGGAAATGTTCTACTTGTTCTTTAAACATCCAAACTCCACTACCTGCAGGAAGCAGCCCAAAGGGTACCTAAAGGAATGAAATCTGGCGGATGGATGTGTTATTCCATTTTGTAGAATTTAAAAAGTAAAATATGTGTACCACACCATTGATGCCTATTCAGGTGGGGAACTGCTTTGAGTTCAGAAAAGGCTAATTTCGTAATTATAAGTTAGCTAGAAGTTATGGCCATCATGGGTAAACCTGCACAAATAAAGACAGGCAATGCTCCAGCATGTGTCTTAAGGACGTGCTAAATAAACAGGAAGGGGTGATAACGACCCCATATAAAGGCTGCATGTGCTTTATTAACTTTGAATTTTCTGAATGCTAATGAGAAAGAACAGCAGTGTTGGAGAGACACTGGGTAACAGAAAAAAAAAAAAAACTGTGGAATCAAACCAACCAGTGTACTTCAAACACGTGCTGACCCCCTAATAGGAACCAGAGCAAAGAGGTTTCCACTGGTGAAGGAAAAAATATGGGTACCATCAAAACTGATAAAGATTTGATTTGAACAAGACACCTCTTAAGTAGAAGAGGTGATTATTCATCAAGTATCATGGCCATTTAATCTAAACTCTCCTGTAAAACTAAGAAACGCTTTTCATTTGATCAGATATAACTTGTCAAGGAGCACCGCCCCAAAATTCGGATTGGGGGAGTCTTTTGTTTTTGTCTTTTCAGGAGAATAAAGGCAACCAGCAAAGGAATCTGAAGACTACTGGATAAACAAGACACATTAAGAAAAAGGACAAATCATCCCCCCCCAAAAAAAAGTCCCAAGAAGAAGAGTAAATTAGCCTACTGGTATATCATATTTCCAAAAGAACAAAATTTCATAAATCTTCCAAAATGTTTGTTTCTGCTTTTTCTATGGACATATAACGCAAATGGTCTTTTTGTAGTCCCTGTCCAACTACAGATTAAAGCTGGCTTTGGGGCTGGAGCATGACCCTTTCCATCTCTAAACCCAAGCATGCTTGCTAAAGGTAAAATAAAAAATCTGCCTCATGTCAGAAGAGCCACCTGGTATGGGACACAAGAAAAACAAACATTTAAGGACTATTATATCCATGCTAATCTCATAATCCTTTGGTTTTATTTTGACTCACTGAAGCTTTTCTTGAGGTATATCATCTAAAATTTTATTAGATTAAGATATATGTATATTTAAGTTTTTGTCATGATATTAATGGTCATATAGAGTGCTAACCAATTTCAGAAAAAGGTTTTCGTGTACGTTCATGTACATGATCCTGGGTTTAAGTCTCTGTAAGTTTCCTGCAGTGAACCATGAACATGCCTAGCAGTGACCTTTGAGGTCTCCAAAAGGAGGCTGGGGCCCTACAATGACAATTCTACCAGGACAATAATAACACTGCTAAGCAAAAAACACCAACTAAAGATTGGCTTTGGTCTACAAACTGCCCATGACAACTGCAAGACGGCGAGTGGAGATTATCCAGACTTACACACTACTTCAGCCAGGACTAGAGACAAGCCCCGCCCTTCCCCATCACACACACTGGACAAAATGATACAGCTACCTCTGCCAGGACTTGAAATTTAACCCAAATTGTTCTTTTCAGGCTCCCTAAAGATGCCATCACCCTCAGACAGCAGGAAGTAAACTTAGGTACCCAGCGCCCACATTCCCAAGAGGTGGGGTGGGTAGTTTTTGTCTTTCATTGCATTACGGATATTTGTCATTGTTTAAGGGGGTTGGTTACAAGTTGTTATTGGCAATGCTCAGGGAAAACAGCTAAAACAGAGATTAGATCCAAGATTCTTATTTAAAAAGAGAGGGAGACACAGGTATGAAAGGACCCAGGACAGATTATTGAGGAGAGAAAAAAGGGAGAACAAAGATATAAGGTAAAAAGGTAGATTGTTGAATCTACTTCTAAAAGTAACTACCAGTTTTAAATATTTTACACTTGAATTGACTTTTATGTCATAAAATTTGAGATTAATTTTGTTAAAACAAACTGCACATAAGTTTCTAATCTTGTTCAAGGTAATGTACCTACACAGCCCATTTAACAATGTAAGGCAAATGCCTAGTCCTTGACAGTTATTATTACCAACTACACAGGATAACAAGGAAATGAAGGTTAGTCATCAGCCACCTATTACGATCAAACTTGTGGTCATACTGGGTTTGTTTTCAAGGTCAGATGTATATATTTTAGAAAGACAGGTTGTCTTCAAACACTTTAGAGACCTACAGAATATGACATTTAAAAAGTTTTAATAGCATAGGTTTTTATTATTATGATTTTTATGACAATGAGACACATCTGTTCCTGGAAGCTCCAATCTACTTCAGAGAAGATGATAAGACATCGAAGAAACTCCACATGGAGTTTACTTTCTTTGTGGCAAAGATTAGCCATTGGTCAAGAAAATGCCCTTGCCTCAACTGCTGACAGTATGCTGTCCAAACTGGACAAACAAGACACCAAACAGAGTGACTGCAAAGCTTTGCCAAGACAAGGTGGGACAGCCCTTCTCAGAATCCTACTTCACAGAAAAGTCTGTCAGTTACGCTAGGCCTGTAGGCCAAAGATGGATGCCCACACATTGCAGAAGACCCTTGGGTGGTGTCCAGGAAGCCAGCTGTTTCTGTCATTACTTTTTTTTTTTTTTTTTTTTTGGAAGTTAGTTGCTCGCACTTCCTGCTTATTTAGTAAATATTAATTTCTTCTTGGGTCTCTGAGGGAGTTTAAGACTAGAATATTACAGTTTTCTTTGTTTACCAGACTCAGAAAAGAAACTCAATGAAGAGGTGTAAAGTGCAAAAGTTTGAGAGACATCAAAAGATAATTTGATAATGCAAATTAGAATAGAAAGTTAATTATGTACAATCTCATGTATTCAGCAAGATAGGATGAATATGGAGTATTTTCTCTGAATTTGTCAAATCCGATCCAAATGGACTAGACATTGTAGACAGACTTATTGCCTGTATATATTGTATATAGTTATTGCACTTATTGTACATGGCTTTTCTTATATTAGTTATAGACTTCTGTGGTGATATCTTTCTTGCACAAATAAAGCCTGTCTGGGGGTCAGAGGATGGAGCTTGCCACTAGCTAACCACAGAGGTCTGGATGTCTGTACTGACAGGCAGGAAATGTCATACATGGCTGGGTACTAAACGGATATAAGCAGGGACAAACAGGAAATCGCTCTCTTCTTTGCAGAGACGCTTAGGAAGTGAGGTGTGCTGTGGCTCCCTCCTTCTCTCTGATCTCCCAGCATTTGCCTCCATTACCTGACTCCTGTCTTTTATTATCTAGACCAATTAAGAACTCCATTTACAGCTTTCTTTTTTGTATTAGACAAAAGGGGGGAAACTGCGGTGATGTATTGTTTATGATTTTAAAAAGCTCACCTGGGGATCAGAATGCAAAGCTAGCAGAGCCATGGAGATTGGGCAGTGGTGGCATACACCTTTAATCCCAGGACTCAGGAGACAGAGGCAGATGGATAGATCTCTGTGAGCTCTAGGCCACCCTGGGCTACATGACACTGAATCAGTCTAAAAGAGAAACAGAGCTCCCACCTTTAATCCCAGCACTAGAGGGAATATAAGGAGCTCAGTGTGTTCTGGAGACGCAGTCTGAGGTTGGTGGATCACCCTTCAGTCTGAACACTGGTAGAGGTGCGAGCTCTCTGGTGGCTGGCCACTTTACTTCTCTGACCTTCAGCTTGAACCACAATATCTGTCTCTGGGTCTATATTGTATTATTCGTGCTACACTTCTCATTTGTAATGTTACTAGATTCAGATAGGGAATTACATTGGCAAATTATTCACAAAATGTCTATCATTCACTCAAGACAGGTTCAAAGAGACAAGGCCACTGACATGCACAAACTAAAGTAAACATCCTCAATGTGTTTCAAGAAATAAGCATTTCTGGGAGCTTTATTAACAGCTGTTAGCTAACCACATTTGACATTTCTGATCTGAATGTAAAACCTCAAGGCCTTAAGACTACCTAGTTATAAGAGCCAGCAAACATCTGGCTTTAAAAGCCACAAGATTTCTGTCACAATCACTCCATTCTGTCACTGGAGGGGGAAACCACTAAGTTGTCAAGTGAAGTGTTAAGTGGTACCAGATGCTACAGGTAAAGTGCACAACTGTGGCTTAAAGACGCTTGTATTGTAGGATGCTCATAGGCAAACGGCAAGCCTCCTTTTCTGTATAGACTATACTTGCCACAAGAGTATACCAAAAACTGATGAGGCATCATTCTTTACAAGTCACCAAAAACAGTTCAGACACATGAAACAGATTTTATGCAGGCTTTTTTCCATACTGAGTTTTACATGCTGAGTATACGCACTGGCTGGTGCAACAATTTCTGTTTGCTTTATGGCACACTAAATATCACTTCTCTTGGAGCCTTCACAAATACTAGATTCTCACTCTTTATTTCCAGCTAAATTTTCAAACAAAATAATACCTCATTGCTTAATTTATAGCCTATTTTAAAATAATGTCAAAACTAAGTATTAATAAAAAATTACTAAATACTGATAAGACAGTACTTATTCAAACATCATTAAATAATCCTTCATATTCTTAGGTGCAACCTAAACCAAGTTTCTACATTGCATCGGGTTCATATTATTCTCTCATTTAAATAAGTAATATGCTTATAAAATAAAGTGAGCTTAAGTAATTATATTAGTACATTATCATGTGCTTTTCACACTTGTTGAGGACGGACAGAGGAAGAAGGTAAATGGCCCCTGGTCTCAGACTCAAGCATGTTTATCCCAAGTGTCCTCAGAAATCCCTGTCCTGGCGCACACTGATACCCTGGCCCTGGGACAAGATCAAGGGTTGTAAACTGCACCTTTGAGAGCTGCTGAAGGGAAAATATATTTCCAACAGGTCACTACGATTTAACCCAGACCATGAGATACCTGAGATCACCGCAAGTGGGACACCACCTGGGAGTGTGCCGACAGGGCTCCTCTGGCCATTTCTGTTGGATGCTCTGCCTGATTTGAGGCTCTGTTATCTATCTGCTACCTGCCAGGTGTTCTTTTTCTTGCTATACATCTAATGAACTTACTCATTCACAATCCAAAGTATAGCAAGCATGGATCACTTTCCACACGACTATCAACAGGGGCAATTTTAAAGCAACACAAAGCATACTAACCAATGTACCTGTAATTGAAAGTAAATTTCTCCTAGGGACCCCAAATAGAATTTGTAAGTATGCCTCACATTTTGACAATAGTCTTACTTATGAGGCAGAAGAAATCTGCCACTCACCTTTGCACACCGTAAGGCCTTTCTAGAATAGGCTCTTTGAATGGAGGTGGACTGTGACCAAAATAATCAGGATAAGCCACCTCTGAATATTCTGGAACAGATTTTGTATTCTTCACAATCTCAATGTAGAGGTCTGGGTCATGGAGTGTTGGTCCATCAGGGCCTTCAACAGAGCAGGCCTGTTCCACGGACGAGTTGGACTCACTGTCTTCTTCATCTTCAGTTTCAACCCCAGTACAACACAGCTTCCCAAGCTGTACTGTCCGTCCATCAAAAAGAGTACTGCTACAGGGAGCCACGTGTGGACATGCTTTCGTGCACGAGAGGACAGTGAGCGGCAGACCACAGTCTTTCCTAGTGCCTGCAGCCAGGCCGGGGGCTGTCTGTGAGGGGACACTCTGCAGTGTGATCCGGTCTAGGGCCTTCACAATGTCGCTGCTGAAGCTGTGTACAGAAGAAGCCGCTCTGCTCTGACCACCGAGCTGCGGCAGCATCCTGTCACCGCCCTTGATGTCCTCCTTGGCCTCCTCTCCCTTAGGAGACATTTTCTCCTTCATTATAGCTCCTTTCTTTACACTACCTGAATTCCCAGATGCTTCCTCTCCAGCTGTGGGAACAACAATAGGGCCTCGAACTTTCCCCTCAAACACAAAAGGTTTGGGCTCTTTAGAGATTAATTCATAGTCCTGTTTAAGAAAAAAACAAGTTTAATCTATTACCTGCCAGTACTAAAATACGCTAATGAAAGTGAGATCATACTTATTTCACATGTTATCTCAGAGACCTGACACCTTCTTCCATTTTCCCTGGGCTCCAGGAATGCACATGGTGCACATACATACATACACACATGCAGGCAAAACACTAATGCACATTAAATAAACAAACACACAAAGACTGGCGGGCAGTCCAACAATAGAGGGCCTGCTTAGCAAGCATGAGAACCTGAGTTCTCTATCAGGGGTCAGCTGCAATTTAAAAGTGTGACTAGAGAGAGGAAAACACCATGTGACGGGGTTCAAGGAGAGGGCTGTCTGTCTGTCTGTTTGTGTTTTGTTTTTCGAGACAGGCTTCTCTGTGTAGCTTTGGAGCTGGTCCTAGAACTCACTCTGTAGACCAGGATGACCTCACACCTGGACTTGCTCTGTAGATCAGGCTGGCCTCGAACTCACAGAGATTCGCCTGCCTCTGCTTCCTGGGTGCTGGGTTTAAAGGTGTGCACCACCAACGCCCAGCCAAAGGGGTTTTTATTAGGGGAAAGGATCAGACTGGGGAGACTGGCCTCCGGGGACAGGAGCAGTGGGAAAGAGGAGAGGAGGAGGAGACAGAGGCAGGGGAAGACGGGAACATAGTAAATACGTGGCTGCAGCTCAGAGCGCATCCTGTCAGGACCACAAGGACAGGCCAGTACAGATGCCTCAATACTAACAGTGGTTCTCAACCTTCACCATGCCGGGACCCTTTAACACAGCTCATGTGGTGGTGACCCTTAACCATAAAGGGATTTCGTTGCTACTTCATAGCTATAATTTGCTACTGTTATGAATTGTAATGTAATATCTGATATGCAGGATATCTGATGTGTGACCCTGTGAAAGGGTTGTTCAACCCCTAAAGGAGTAGCAGCCATGGGTTGAGAACCACTGATCTAACTCCTAACCTTAACACCCATTATAAATGTACTCTACTGTATTCCCACACCAAAGCTATAACTTGTATAGCATTATATATTCCTATATGCATATAATTATAGGAAAATAGGAGAAGGCATTGTATGCTAATCAAGTCCCACCCAAAACCACTACGACATTACTTGTCTGCCCTGATTTACAAAGTATTCATCGCCAAATGGTTCAAGGGAAACCATACACATTAGAAAGAGTAACTCAACTGTTGTTGTAGGTTACATGGATAAAAACGTACCTACCCAATACTCTTCTGGCTCCTCCTCCTTCCCTGACTGCTTCCCACTGGACCGCCCCCACCAACACCAACCCCTTTCTCCCTGGCTCCCGGCCTCCTTCTCATACTCTATTTCAAAGTGCCAAGGAGCCTCAAACCGACGCGAATGGGGAGGGAACTGGGAGGCAGGAGGCTGTCTTGCACTGTACTCCAAGGCTCCTGAGTATACTCCCAAAGACACATGAGACAGTGGCAAATATTTATGATGTCTCAGATATAAACTTACTGTAATCTTCTTTAATCAACTGTAATTAAGGGTATGGGATTTGGAGAGTAACGTTTATAGCAAAGCTACTCAAGTCTTAGAGGTTGGCTAGCCCAAACACACACTTGCTGGCTTGGAGCTCACTGTGTACACCAAGCTGGCTTCTGAACTCACTGAGAGCCACCGGGGCTGTTTTCCTGGTGCTGAGATTAAAGTTGTGTGCCACCATGCCTGGAAAAACTTACACTTTAAAATCAAGACTTAAGAACCCAGCACAATCAAAGCAGAAAAAAACAAACAAAAAAAAAAAAAAAAAAAAACACTACATCTACTAACTGCCAAATAATTCAGTCAACATGGCTTGTTGTATCACCCAAGCTGAATAAGTTTATCTTAGTAAATGAGAATAAGAAATGCTCATAAGAACGCCCTGCATTTCCAGGGCTGCAGGCTGACCTCTCTGTTCTGACTGCCGCTATATCACGTAATAACTATAAAGGAAAGCGTAAAGCTACAGACTCCTCAGCGTTACTTAAAGGGGCAAACTAACACAAGAGAGACGATGAACCAAAGTGATCACAAAGTGTGAAAAACACCCAATGCTCTCTCTTCTAAGCAAGCTGAGTGCCGGGTTTTGTTTTTTGGTTTTTCTTTTTCTTTTTTTTTTTTCAGAAATGAAAAATGGCAATCATGTACACAACCGAGAAAAAACGAACTTTTTCTTCCAGCCAGGTCCGGACGAGCCTTCCATACTATACCTGGAAGTCGTCAGCCAGCTCAGGAAAAAGACGCTCGTATACTTTCAGCTCTTCCACAGTCCGTCCTGGCACTTGCTGGGGTCTTAATTTGTTAATATCGGTTTCAATATCATCATTCTGAAATAATAAAATATGCTGTCAGTATAACAGCCCAAAAATGTTAGAGAATGTATATTATACTTGAAATGTCCCAAAATATTATGATTAGTGAATAATCACTAATAAAGTTTATATTCAATTTAAGCATAAATCAGACCTTTTAATTAGTTATAGATTATCAATGGTGCTGCTTTTGTTGTTTGGTCATGATTAATATTAATGTAACAGCGTTCTCAAGCTTGTCAAGACAAAAACACACACACACACACAAATAAAGATCATGTATGTTCTCCTCCATGTCCCTATCACTGTGCTGTAAAGTAAGACTCAAGAAAATTAAATTGAAAACATTCATACATAACAAAAATGGTAACAAGCAAAGTAGCTGCCATCCGCTGGCAGGCACTAAACTCTACTGTCTAAGTCACTCTGACAGTACTGACACAGACACGTTTATTTCATCCCCACCGCCTGAGTGGGCACGCCCAGTGATGCGTTTATGCACACATTATAGCCAGTGCCATGTCCCACACCCCCTCATAGTCCAAAGCCCACTGTCACTGTGCACACTGCTTTTTTTTTTTTTTTTTTTTTTTTTTTTGCAGGGCCAGGAGAAGTGGCACCAGTGCCCAAAATTCATCAATCACTTTTGTCCCTAAATTCCTTATCTTCTATTTTGTGAGTCTCATCATGTAGCCCTGGCTGTCCTCCTTAAAGATATGCTTCCTTCATGACAGGACAGCAAGAGTTAATTCCCCCCAGACCCACAGAGCCTCCCCTCTCACCAATTCCCTACTTTCACAGCTGGGTAAGGAGACGCAGACCAGTTACTAACTTTCAGGTGGAGCTCGTTTTTAATTTTCTATTTATCATAGTATCATAATAAACTACTTAATTTCAACCCTAAAGGAAATTTATTTTATTATGCTTAAATCCTTCATATGTTGTACCTAATTATATATGAACATTAACTAGTAATTTTAAGGAAAATATATATTTCTCAATATTTTATACTTGGGAATATGCTTTTATTTATATAATCAATAAATAAGATTTTGTAATTACTATTAATAAGAGATTGGTTTTATTTACATATTATCACTACCATGTAATTATTACTTTGTGGAAGCTTTTAATCTATTAACAAATAATGTATAGTCATCCAAAATAAAAAATACAAAAATATTTTTTCTCGAAGGTGGTGGTGGTGGTGTGTGCCTTTAATCCCAGCACTTGGGAGGCAGAGGCAGGTGGATCTCTGAGTCCCAGGCTGATCTGGCCTACACAGTGGGATCTAGGACAGCCATGACTATGCAGAGGCATATGGCTCACTCTTAGGAACAGCCACTCTAGCATTAGGAAGCAGAGTGTTGACTTTTATGGCTACCTGCAGGTGGGTTGTTTAAAACCTAAAGCATCTGACAGAAATCTCTGCGGAAACAACAGTAATCGACTCAGGCTGGTGCGGGGAAGGCAGACTGAAAGCCAACCACCAAACACACCACAGCCCTGCTGGGACACTGTGGATCCTCCCCTTAATAGTGAGGAAACTGAGGACGCCCAAGTGTAACAGCCAACACAAGTCAGAGGCAGGCAGGCAGCAGGCAGGCAAGAGAGGACCATGCAGCTGCAGCTCACAGCCTGGCTCCATGCGTCATGGACTAGACATTTCAGTGGAGCACTCAGCAGTGGTGGTAGATGGACCCTGCTCCACAGCGCCTGCACGTGCATACACAGCCTTCTGTGCCTCGTCTACACTGCTGTGGGAATGTATTTGATGGTTACAGGGCATGAAGAGCCTGGATTGGCACACGGTTAAGTGTTCCACAAATACCTTTTTTCTCATAACTATAACCGTTTTGTTAAGGTGAAGCAGACAGTAAGTGAGCAATCACTACCACTGCTAACTCAGTGAAAAATGGATACCAACAACTGTTCTTCCAATGTCAAGTGCAAAGAAATCTGTGGAAACGTTTCAGATGAGCAGGCCAAGTGAGAGAATAACAAACTTCAGTATCTGAGGCTAAATCTTGCAGCAGAAAGGGTTAAAAAAAAACCTCATAAAAGACATTACAGGAGCAAATAATAAATTGGACAGAGATGGCAAGTTGGTAGAATGCTGATATGTGTGTTGCGGTTATGGTGTATGTTCATGGCAAAGGACCAGAAGAGCTGACACACCTGTTACACATATCAAACCCACTGGCAAATGCAGTTTTCCAGCAGCAAAATCAGGCACTGTTCCAATTGCCCTCGCTCCCCAATCTTTTTACTCTTGACCATCAGAGCTACTTTTAAGTAGAACTGTGACATGTGAAGACTCACGTAGCATGAATACTAAAAACCCAGATACAGGTATCAGGGTTCAAGCAGAAGACCAGAAAAGCAAAGCAGCTGGGCACTAGCTCTCACCTCTACCTCAGATCAAAAGGGCTGATCCTGTCTCTGAGAGCCCTCGGCCTGCACTGACCTGAGCCCCTGCCTCATATCCTCTCTAGCGCTGGGATTAAAGGTGTGCCATCCCCAAGGGCTGGGATCAATGAGCTACGTTTCTCTTTTAGACTAATGATTCACTCTCATGCTCTCCTGTAGCCCAGGCTGGCCTTGAACTCACAGAGATCCATCTGCCTCTGTCTCCCCAGTGCTGGGATTAAAGGTGTGCTTCACCACTGCCTGGCCTCTATGGCTAACTTGTGGCTTAGCTCTTCACTGGGTGTGTGGCTAACCTGTGGCTTACCTCTGCACTCTTATCTTCAGGCGAGCTTCATTTGTTCGATCACAAACAGAATATCACTGCAGAGTCAACTATACCAGACATGCTGTAATGTTTATTACTAAACTCTTCTATTTTGATAGAAACTCGTGAAGATTAATGTGAAAAGTGTGGTGCTCACCTCATGAATTTCATGACCCCCACATACCCTGCAAAAAATCCCAAACACATTTCAGCAGGCCCCTTACCTGAGAAGATGACTCACAGCGGGGAACTACCAATTCCACTGCTTAGGTCAGGTCCAAACACCCGGGGAACCCCAGATTTGTGTCTTAGCATCAAAGCCTGCCCTATTTTTATGATCACACTGTGGTAGTGAAATTGGTTCTATATTATTATTAAGATACATCTTCCAGTATTCTAGACTCTGGAAAGTCAAACACACAGTGTGCCCCAATCAAGGTAGTATTCCAAGATTTTTTAATGTTCTGCCTGCCTACATGTATGTGTTCTGCATGTGTGCCTGCTGCTGGCAGAGGCCATAAGCAGTGTCAAGTCCCATGGAGCTGGAGTTACAAACATGTATCCACTGCCGAGTAGATGCTGGGCAGTGCACCGGGTCCTCTGCAAAACCAGCAAGCACTAGTGTACTGCTGAGCCACCATCTACCTCTCCAACCCCAATAGCCCGGGACTGAGCCACCATCTACCTCTCCAACCCCAATAGCCTGGGACTGAGCCACCATCTACCTCTCCAACCCCAATAGCCCGGGACTGGAAAAAAAAAAAAAAAAAAAGACAGTAAAGGAACCAGGCAAAAGTCAAGCTGGTTCCCCTTCAAAGCAGGCAGTACACAAGCCAAGCAGCTGACAACCAAACAGGCTGCTTTCCCAAAGATGCTGCAGCAGCCGCTCTGTGCCAAATGACGCAGAGAAGTCTTCCAGACCTCCAGACACAGTGCCACTCTGCCAGCTCAGCTCAGCAGCCCTTCAGCCAACAGCCTCATATTTCCTCAAGTCAGCAACCCTCCTAATGCTGTGACATCATCACAGCACCCCTCCACTGCAGACTATATTCCCGGTAAAGACCGCTGACAGAAGGGGAGGGGATGCCCTGACACCACAGCCACAAGCCACTCCCCTTAGAGCCCTTCTGTTTCCAACATTTTATTTATAATCCTACAGATCAGCAAATCTGTTTCAAAGCAGAGATACATGATTTATACAGTTTACTAATGATAAAAATGTACCAACCTTAAAATTTTGATCTAGGTCATCTTCATTTTCAACTTCATTTTCAGCTTCTAAGTCAGCATCATCATTGTCATCACTTTCGTCCACTACGTCGTCCACTGTGACACAGAACACACTGAGAATCAGTCAGAGGCAGGCATCTACAAGGCAGACATGCATGGCGTGCATAACGGGTTCCGGCCTCCAAGGACAGGCAAGGAGATTTCTTTAATTGAACTATTACATTCATCTATTCAACATAAATTGTTTTTCCCTTTTGTTCTTCAAAAATATCATATATTGGAATTTTTTGTTTCCTCTTTATATTCCTTACTAAAAACATCTATAAGGATAGCTCAACCCTAGAAACCTCACAACATTTGTGTAAGAGCCCTAAAACTTGGAAACACTACCAACTGAATGAAATGTTTACTACTGATGTTCTCAGTTACAATCTAATGTCCTATGTTACAGCAGGCAGGATAAAGCATCATGATAACCCTCAACGACTCACTTCATCCCTTTGCAATTACTTCTTTCAATGGCCATGTGCCACACACTGGGTAACAAACTACTAATTTTTTGAAGATATAATTCCTGCCCCAAAGGAGGAAAGCCACGGGAGAACCAGACAGTAAATGGACACAAACTGCATCGGGCCAAGGCATGACCACTGACCACGCCAAGGGCAGCGCCTGCAGGAGACCGAGAGACAGGGTCGTGAAGCTGTGAAAGGATGTAAGAAAGTGCACTGATAGAATATTGGGAAAATAAATATGATTGGCACGTACAGTGTATTTGAGAAATTTAAACAAGAATAAGATAGGATAGATATCCAGACAGGCAAGTCAGTTAGATTTTAAACCTACAGAACACAGGCACAGGATTTCCAAGAAAAGAATGGCTTGATACAACTTGCATTTTCTGGCAGGTGTGAGAGGAGAACCTACTAGTGAAGCGAGACCAAGCAAGAGGCAGTTCAGTGTCTAGGCCAAAGCCAGACTAAGAAGCGAAAGAAAACTGCTTGCAGAAACGCGCACGGAGCTCCGCGTAAAAGGACATGGGGCATAAATGTCATGGGGCAGGAGAAAAGCACCAGGCTGCTCTTTCAACCCACACGGGAGGCACTGAGAGGTGCTTTCCTACGCTACTTGACTTCAGTGTCCACTGTGATGTAGACAGATTACTGACGCCTCCCTCCCATCAGTACAGTCCTGCTTTGCCTAATATTAGTAATGGAGCCCTTGCATTTGAGCTGAGGAATCCCAGCCTGTGCTGCAACAGTGACTCCTATGGATAATTCCTGACCAGTGGTGTGTGATGCAAAGTCATAAACCTATACCCCAAATCAGTTGAATTCTCTGGAAGAGAGGAGAAGGCCGCCCCTTGGTGTATACTTTCTTATGAGAAGCTACAAATGTTCTTTGATGGCCTAGTCCACTGAGATCCAACATGGATCCATTTACCCTAAGTCTAACAGCAGAGTCTGTCGTGGATGAAGTGGAAGGAGCAGAATTGAAAGAAGAATAATAGAAAAACGGTATTTAGGGGAAAATGTACTAAATTCAACAAAAGCCTATTGAAAACAGGAGAAACACCTAATTCAATAGTGCAGATTTGGAGGGAAAGTGTTTCAAGCCTTTCCTTTGGGTACACGCTCCAAGTGTGAATGAAGCATCACACAGCCTCAGAGCACCTGGGCTCCCTGACAGCCTTGCACTGCTAAGAACTGACCAAACCACAGCACACAGTCGAAACCAGTGGCTACAGACCCAGCTGTCCTCGGCTTCCTTGTATCTACTAACAGCAGCAGTGCAGGGAAGGGAACAACTGATAGCTAGTAAGGCAAATACAGGGCATCCCTGGGCGCCATCGTTAACGAAAGAGCCTGCAGCTCCTAAAAGGACGTAAAAGCTATAAACAAAGGAGCTGCCTTCACTGTGCCTATAAATGTGGTTCACTCCCCCTCGATGTACGTGTTAGATCTGTAAGGGCAGCCTACAGGTACGGATGCATCTGTGTATATGAATACAGTTTTAGGCAGTGATATGCTATGTGTATTAAAGGTTTGATCCCACATTCATGCAGACACAGACACAGACACAGGAAAACAACTATGTTTTATTCATTTCCCTTATAGCTCGTGCTTTTCAACTGTTTGTCATGGTTTACTGGGTAACCCTGTAACAATGCCCCCCACAGGTCATACATATAGCCCTCTCAATGGGCTTAAGGCCTTTCTTTCTCTAGGTTACTGCCTTAGCTACATGTTTGAGATACATCCTTTAATGTTTCATTACTATTTCTGAAGTTTGGTATATATAAAAGTTAATAACACTATTTAAAATAACTGCCAATTTCCTTAATGAATTGTATCTGGAATCAATTCCTGGTATTTACTGAAGTAACTAATAAATTTTGCCCATTTTAATATTACAGTGAACTTCATTTCTTAAAAATGATCAAGACGTCCTACACAAATAAACATTGCCCAGTTCAATTTGCTCTGTTTTGGAGTTTGTACATTTGTTTAGATTAGTGGGATTCAGCTGTTGGTTGTTTCCGGTAATCCTTACCAGGTTTTGATTTCAGCATCATGCTAGCTTCTAAACTTTTCTCTTTTTTCTATGCTCTGGAAAATAAAGCATAGGAAAATTCCTTGAAAGTTGAGAGAACTAATCTATGACATCATCAACAGTTGATATCATCAAACAAACTTGACTACACACTCCATTTCTGGTTTTTATTATTCCAGTCAGTTTTACTCGATTATGTGTCCCTAAAATACTATGTCAATTATATATTCAAATGTACTATTGAGTGCTCTCTCCAGCACAACTCTGACTTCTGGACCCTTCTCTATGTAACTCGCCAGGGACTTAGGGGCATGTTTGCTCACCCACCAACGACGTCACTGACTGTAGGGTTGACTACCCTCTGTTGTGCGGTCTGTGCTTCCTTCCGGGGCTACACTCTGGGTAAACAGTGCTTCTCGCCTCTGTGTGGTTCATATCTGCTGGTTTCCCATCAAGCTCCCTACCCCTTTAACTACCCAGTAAGTATCTGCTCTTTAAGAGTCCTAATCTGTTAGCACAATCGTGTTGTTGTGGCTTTGGGCTTTTGTTTAGATAGAGTCTCTTCGTGTAGGTCTCGCTGTCACAGGAGCCACTCTGTAGACCAGGCTGGCATCAAACACAGAGATCTGCCTGCCTTCTGCCCCACAACACAGCAGCCTTTAATAAGAGTATTTTGTCTGTTCAGACCTACCATCTGAAGCTCATGCTTCAAACAGATCTCTCAAGGGTTCGTTAGTCACCTCTGAAACTCCCTTTTACATAGTTCATTCAAGAAAAACAAAAGCCCCCAAAGTTTTACCCAGAAAGACACAGGGCAGCCTCTGATGACGTCAGCTTGTGTGGTCCTGTATGTTACATATGAAAATGTGCATTTCTGCAATTACCATTTTAGAAATGCAAGAATTATTATTAGACATCTGTCAACATCACATTTATTTGTTCATGTAAAAGGCTCTGTTTATGGTAACAAATATTATGAGCCTGGCTCTAAAACAGGTTGTTATATCATAGTAATAATGCAGGGGCTATTAAGTGTCACAGCGTGGGCAGGTCCTAGGATTGAGAACAACTGCCCTTCTGTGGGGCCCTCTGCATTTTCAACATCAGATTCCATCGTCTGAGTAGCTAGAGCAATACTCCACTGTGCATCACTTAAGGAAGGGCACCTAAGATACACAGTGCCATACCTCATCTCTAAGAACACACCACCTTCGTGGTGGAGGCCAGGGAAAGGCTCAGAAACCATCTCTTTCAGATCTCCACAGATGGTACTTCACTACCTTTTGGCACTGAGTAATCAAGAAGGCAAGTCCTGAGTCCAGCTCTACCCACTCAGCAAATACTAAATGTACCCTTATAACTATCCACGCAGTTTAAAGGATGCTAAAGAGAAGGCAGTGGTTAAAACAGTACTGTTGTGATAGAGAGCTATTACATCTCGTCCCTGGGTCATGACAGTTCCCAAAATCCCCTGGGCTCTCTTGGGTGGCAGGAATGTCTTCTGCTCTAATGACAGGACCATTAGTAGGACCCCAGATAGCTTCGGCATGGAGGCTGATTAAAGAAAGAGCTGGGAACTTCAACCCTGTTTCTCAGCCTCTGAAGAGAAAAGGAGGGCCTACAAACTAGTCAGCCATCAGCGATCAATGGTTTAATCAACCATGGCTTGTCTTCTTGGCTCGTGAAGACATCAATGCTAGGAGGAGGATGTGCCTGCAGAGAGCATGGGTCTCATGCTGTGCCTCCCTCCCTGTACCCGTGTCCTGTCCTTTGTAACAAACAATGAACCCAGGGTGCTCCTGTGGTGTGAGCTGTCCTACCACACATCTGTCGCTAGCAAATCATCAATACCTGCATAGTATGGTGGAAACTCCCTAACAACTTTATAGTTAATCACTCCAAAACAGAGGGAGCCTGGACAGGTAACAGGTCCCTGAAGTGAAGAATTCCTTGTGAGATGGAGCCCTAGTTCAGTGGTGTCCATACTAAGTCAGAACACCCATCTAATCACCCACAAGTAGAGAGTTTGTTGATAGTATGGGCAAGAAACAGTCTAGACTTATCCCAGAGGTGCTCACATTTTAGCTGAGGAAGGCTATAACACAATTCTGACACCCTAGAACAGAAAACAGAATGAGGACATCATCCTCTTTGGGCCAAGAGCATCGCTACCAAAGTCTTCCCATCCCATTTTAATGAAGGCTCGTGAGTTAACAAACAGACACATCTCTAGTTTAGTGGTTCATCAAGTCTGAGAAACATACAGAAAAAGAGACCGCAGGAAAATATCACCTTTCACACTTTCCCCCATGCCGGGTGAATTCACTACACTGCAGATGAACTTTTGCTAGCCCTTACTCTGGATTCTGACTACACATCACTATGAGGATATATTCTACTTCCTCCCTCCTGGTACTTGTTGCATCATAGAAGAGCTTCCAGAGCCTTCTACCAGCCAGAACCACAAACACCTACAGCTCACACCACCAGAATCTGGTATTTAGACAGAGGAAAGAAAGATTTCCAAAACTCCCTGACTGTCCCTCCAAACTGAATGCTAGTGGCATTTCTGGAGCCAGAGATTCTGCCCTTGAGAGGAGGAAGCCATGTTTGTCTCTACCACAGCAGTATAGCTGCTTCACAGAGTCCTCTTGCCCGCCTTGCCTTTCACAATTGCTACAAATGCCCTCACTTTCCAAGTCTGTGGGAAATTACAAAGGAACAGAAAGAAGGAATTAGAAAACCATGTCACTTAGAACTTACTACACTAAATCTTGTTGACTTTTAAACTTTGTATTTTTTAAATCTTTCTCCTCTTTCTCTCTCCCCTTCTTCTCTCCCTCCCCCTCCCCCCTTTCTCTCCCCACCTCTCTCTCTGACACACACCTGTAAATAAAGGTCATGGGATAACTTGCCAGAGTCTATCTTCTACCATATGGGCCCTAAGGATTGAACTCAGTCCCTCAGGCTTCACATAACATGCCATTACCTGCAAGCTACCTCTCCAGTCTGACTTCTGAAAGATATTTCTAAATGATGCATTTTGCCATTTTATGCCTATTAGATCTGTGCTTAGATAATTAAATATTTTTATATTAATGATATACCTTATGATATATGCCATTAATAAATCCATATTAAGGTTAAAATCTAATGATTACTTGAAAACTTTTAAAACATGTATTCCAAGTATTTTGTGAATAATAAAAATAAACTTTTCCAAAGACATAAAAGAACACAGAATTCTATGAATATCCATGTATGTATTGCGGCCTGGATGGAAAGATATCCTGGCAGTCAGGAGCCAGAAACACCACAAAGACACTGTAAGCATAGCAGCTTACAGCCCTGCTCCAGGGAGGTTCCAATGCAAGAGTTACAGCTCTGCTCTGGGGAAGTGTCACAGCTGGGCTCTTCTCTGGGAAGTATTATTACAGATCCACTCGAGTCCCCAGGTGTGACAACCCTGCTCTGCTAAGAGAAAGTATCCCCAGAGAAAGTGTTACAGTTTTGTTTGGGGTTTTTTTTTGTTTGTTTGTTTGTTTTTTGTTTTGTTTTGTTTTTTGAGAGGGAACTAGGAGAAAGAGAAGGGAAGGAGAGGAAAGCACGTGGGACTAGGAAGATTGAGTCAGGGTAGGAATAGAAGAGAGAGGGGGAGGGAGAAAGAGAGAGAGAGAGAGAGAGAGGAAGAGAGAAAGCGAGAGAGAACATAAAAGAGGGAGCCATTATAGATTTGAAGAGAAAACTGAACCTAGAGAAATGTCCAGAGACCTACAAGACTGACCCCAACTAGCAATCTGAGCAACAGTGGAAAGGCTACCTTAAATGCCCTTCCCTAATATTGAGGTCAACGACTAACTTATCCACCATCATGGAGCCCTCATCTAGTAGCTCATGTAAACAGAAGCAAATGCCCACAACTAAACACTGAGCCGAACTTGAATCCAGATGCACAGAGGGAGGACAAGAGCAGGCTACAGAAACCCACAGACAGCTTACCTGAACAAGAAGGAGCTAATGGACCCCAGACTGATAGCTGGGAATCCATCATGGGACTGACTCAGACCCCCTGAACATGGGTCTCAGTTCTTTACAGCTGGGCTGCACTCCAGTGAAAATGTCACACCACACAACAAACCTCACTCAAGAGTTTTTAATGGGAAGAAGAATCCAGGAGGGTGGCTGCCTCAGTTGAGAAATCGCAACAAATAGATCAGGGTCCAGAGCTTATATGGGATTTCTTTGGGGAGGAGGGTGGAGCTTTCCAGGGTGTCTTGGGAATCAGTGGGTTTTTGTGGGGCAAGCTCAGGGATTGGTACAAGGCAAGCCCTGGTCCTAAGGTCAAGTCAGGTGCAGGGCATGTGCAGGGCATTTTTCCTTGGCCCTTTTAACCCCACATCCCACAACTGCTTCTCTTCTCCATTCCAGCAGATACCAACAAAAACAAACAGAAACCACGCCGGAAAGTTTAAATTCTTCCTTACTACATGCCTGCAGGATTACACTAAAAATGACATACAGCCTACCTCAAATAATTTCACTTTTCTTCCAAGGCTGCCAGCAAGCCTGATGTTAAACTCTGGTCCCTGGGACCCACTGGCGGGAAAAAAAAAGAACCAACTTCTGAAGGTTGTCCTCTGACCTTTACACGTTCACTGTAGCATGAGCATAATGTGTGTGGCACAAACAACACACATACACGCCCGCCATCGTCTTCATGAGCAGTCATTTTTTTTTAAACTACACAGGTAATGCTAAATAAACATAATGAATGGCCTAAGCAGCTGATGCCACCTTCTTGCACTCTGAGAACTGGTTATTGAGTCACTTCTCGTGTGCTTTCACGACTCCCTTTGACACACATGCAACACAGTACTTCCCTTATGAGATCCCAATTTCTTACACCCAAACATATGCTTACTGACTAAAATAAATGTGAGGGTTTATCATGCTCACATTAAGGCCTTTCACGGAGGAATCAGACACAAGTTTAAAGTGACTGTCATCAGCGTCCCCGGGCCGCCCAGCCCTACCTTCAGGGGGCAGACTGTAGAGCTGAGCTACAGGCCCAGTCACAGGGATAACGGGCAACTGGAAGTGGAAAGAGCTTTTAATGGTTGGGAGTGGCAAGCGGTTTTTGGGGAAACACTTCCTCATTATCAGACTAGAGGTGTTGACGAGTGGATCCAGAGTCCTGACAGCCAAGCACTCCTGTTCAGACAAGGACAAGAGAGTTAGTGGGCAGTTCAACACCGCTGTATTCAAAATTAACAATAATGACTTCTTAGCCACAACCACACAAACTAAAACTATAACACAATATAGTTATAAAACAGCTTTACTCCAGAAATTTCTGTACCCAGGAGTCGTATGGGGCTGGTTCAGTAGGATTTTTCCTCAAATGTTCACTGGGCAAAAATTAGTACTTATCTTTGACAATAAAAATCACTCAGACACTTGGTGTAAGGCATGAAGAAGAGGAAGGAAGTGTTGGGAACTGAAGGTGTGAGAAATAAAATGTGTGCGTCTGCACTAATGCGCCTCTCAGGTCCGGGCTCTCTGTCACCTGGTAAGACAACAGTGGAAAGAAGCAGACCCCACCGCAACCCCGAAGAGGCTGGCTGGCCAATGCTGTCGTGACAACTGACCTTTCAGCGGCACGAGGATATACTACACAACTTTCAACACACAAATTAAGCCACCTGACTCATTACCATAGATCAAGTGACTATTACTGTGTGTCTAGACGGTAAACAGAGAAATGAAAACACTCAGTGACACATCAAGTGTTTAGATGCCTTAACCACTGACGTGCGGAAAGGCTCGTTGTGTGGAAAAGCAAGGGAGAAGTTTAAAAAGTGCCTGGTCATTTCAAAGGACAGAAGATGGCTGCACCGCAACGCCCTCCATCCCGCTAATGAGAGGCTCCTACAGGGTCATCGGTATGCTGTCAGGGGTGTGTGCACTTAAGATGCCTAGCAGAGCAAGCAGGCTACTTGAAGCTTTCATCTCTCTGTGTTCCGTATGAACTGAAAAATGGTCATGGCCATGGCTCTGTCCAGCAGGAAAGCATTCCCAAAGCTCAAGCAGAACTGCCCCGCCAGCTAGAGAATCCTCAGATACCTTGACAGCACACAAAATTGCCGACCTGGTCACGCATGCAGCACAGCTACAAGGAAACCCTCCCTTGTGTGCGCGGTTCATACACGACAGTTTGAGACTCCCGCTCCAGGCATGAGCTCTTGCCACTCTCCAACCATCTCAAAGGTCACAGGTAAAAATCAATTGGGAATATTGGTTTTATAGAATTTTAAACTATATTTATACTATGTTCACTTTCCTAAGTACTTGCATGATAAATCACTTTTCTTAAGAACCAGAGTAGTGTCATTAGCACATCAGCAGAATGAGGAGACAAGGCAGCTTACCTGTGAGGTGTTGTACAGAATCTTCATACCATTGGCATCGATAAACGCCTTTCTTCCCAGCTTGATGTTTGTGACACTTTTCAAGCTCTGTAAGATGCCTTTCCGGATGAGCATGTTTCTGTGCCGGTTGTCATGGCGGTGCCAATCTACATAAACTGTTAAAAGCACTTGAACATATCCTCTGTCTACGGCTCTCCTGGCATTTGTTTCTTTAACAAGAGAAAATTGGGAAAGGTGATTTTATAAATGACAGGAGAAAGTTTTAACATGAATTAAACAAAACGCAGAATATCAGTACTGTGATGACTCCCCAGCCTTTAAAAAAAGAACAGGCACATATTTAATAAAATTCTAACAAAATAATTATGACAAGTGCTAGAAACCAGTACAGTCTCTAGACACATTCTCTCCTATTATCTTATCATGATTTACAACTGAAATCCCCTTCCTTCTTTCCTAGTGCTGAGCCCTGCAATCCCAGCACCCACAAGGGGAAGGCAGGCGCACAAGTGTGACACCAATCGGGCCTTAGCGGAACTTAAGGGAAGTGCTGTCTCAAAGGAAACGACTGAAAATGAGTGCATTTGCTAACATCCGGTCTCTAATTGTTAATGTTATGCTGATTTTAAAACTCTATACATTTTGAAAGTTATATGATCTTTTTTATAAGACAGAAACATAATGCTTTTACTGACTAACTACGAACGTGACTGTGTTAAAAGCAACCATCACTCTTGCTTATTTTCATTACAAAATCTGTGTCCCATTAAAATTAACCCCACTGGATTGCAGCTCTTGTTACTTACAAAATTTATCTTCCTGGTATAAGCAACTATTCTAGTTACTCCACAACTGTTTAGACATCCACTCCCTAATACACAAAATTTAAAATAAAACTTGTTTTACATAAAAGGTAAGAAATAGTATGTGATTAGAAAATAGTTATTTCTAGGTACTTAAAATCTTAACAACAACAACAACAAAAAAAAAACTATAGGTTTTCTGAAAGTGGTCAATTTTAATGGAATAAAACTATAATAAACCCATAAATCTGAACTGACTTTCTTACACTTAAGATCACTCCCCAAAAGAACACATCTACTAAAACAGCAGCCATGGAATGCCATCGTGCCAACACACAGCGTCCCCGAGCTGCTGTGGCAGTCTATGAGGCAGTCTAAGAGCAGAGGAGTGGGCAATGACCCACCAGGGGTTGCTGAGGTGCAAACAAACTCTAATCTGTTCTTAACCTCAAATTTACCCACAAGCAACCTTGCTTATGTTATGGACCCAAGATGATGCTGGCTTTAGCTGCTTAGAAGGATCATTACTTTCTACACATGCTCATGTAGACTAAATCATAACACTAAGATACATCTATTCTCTTTCAGAACTATACTCTGACATTGGAGAGGTGTAGAATGCTCATCAAGAGGAGGTGGTTTTCTTAGGAGAGCATTGTTTGATGCCAGCACCTGGGTGGCGGGAACAGGGGGAATGCCAGCCTGGGTTATTGCAACAAGATCTTGTCTCAGACAAGAGAGAAAATTAAAACCAAACAAAAACGACCCTCTACCATATCTAAGATAGCTAGTTTTCTGCGAGGCTGTGGCTATTTATATTATCAGTTCAACTGCTTGCTTTGGCCAACAACATTCTCTTGTATTTTGGGTTAGGGAATCTAACTCAGTTGATAAGGTGCTGGCCTATCAGGCACAAAGTCCTGGGTTCATCCTCCAGCATCACAGAAACTGCGCAAGCTAGTGCACATGTGTAATCTCAGCACTTGGGAAGTGTGGGCAGGAAGATTAGTTCAAAGTCACCCCTTTCTATATAGCAAGTTCAGGCCAGCCTGGGATAGATCACACATTGTCTCAAAAACAACAGCAACTAAGAAAGTATTTTAAGTGAATACACACTTTTTGTTTACACCACTTGACACGTACAAGCTTTTAGTAGCTATGAATAAGACTTAGTTAAAAAGCTTTATGGTTGCTGCAGTATTTACAACTTTGTTTCTGCTGGAATCTACAACAGCCTGAATGATACTTAGGGGAAAAGCTTACATTTTAAAATTAAATGCCAAATAAAAAATTCATTAGAATTCAAACACAGGTGCTGAACTGGTCCTTAAAAAATGATGAGCTATCTACAATCTGCACTGAGCATAATTAAAACAAATTAATAAAAGGGCTTTACTCATAAACTCAGGTACAAAACTCCCTTTCAAAGCACAGAAGCCTCAATTTTCATTAAGCTGCGCCATGTGATGTGCGTTCAGTAGGGCCCTGAGCTTCACACTCTTGTTACACTCATTACACTCCTACACTCGCTTTCCTTCCCACACTTACTTCAGGCAGCAAACTGCTCCTCTAACGTAAGTGGCTGCCCCACAATAAGCAAGTTTTAATGTAAGAGAGGATGCTCCGAAGTGCCCTGGTCCATTTCACACTGCAGACAGCCAGACACTAAATACTGCTTTGCATTAAGCGCCTGTGCTGTGCAGTGTAAACTGAAGAGGCATGAAATACAAAGTATTCATCAGATGCTTTGCTTCATCACATGGGACCCTGGTCTACCCTTTATCACATCACAGATAAAAGCACCCACTGGGACCCGTCCACTCCATCCCAAGGGTGAAAGTGTAAATACGAATTCTGGTAAACAACAAAAACCATAATTTTAAACTTAATTTTACTTTTGTTTTTAAAGACAAGACCTACTGTGCAGCCATGACTGACCTGAAACTCACTATGTAGACAAGTTAGCCTTGAATGGGCCACCTATCCCCCTGCCTCGACCTACTACCTACTGGGGTAACAGGTGCTTGCCACTGTTCCAGGAAGATCAAACTTTTAATTTAATTAATCATGTTACTATTAAAAACATATAGTCATGAAGACCAAGTAAACAAGGTGACTGCACCCTGACAATAGTCTCTGACAAACTCCCCATTATGTACTGGGAGAGGAGGGCATGTTAAAGCCATCAACGGCAAATTTAAGGCTAACTGTCAAGACTAAATGTTAAGTAAGCAACTGATCATCTGGGAGAATACTATGAAAATGTTTTAAAGACATCCTGAGCCTGTTGGTGAGGAAACCCTTGTTCTCCAACTGCTTGGGAAGCCACATTCCCCATGCTTCAACTCAGAAGACAGACTGAGGTCTGTGCAGACCAATTTACCACTGCTATAAATTTACATCATGTAACATTTTCAATGTTATAAATTTGAACTTACAGTAAAAACAAAATTATTTCTAATAAAAGACACTAGGTTAATTTACGTTATATGAAGCTGATATGCATTACAATGACAATGCTAACTGAGCTAGAATACATTATAGCCATTTGGATAATTTATTCAAGCACATCATTTTCATATTTCTAACTTACTGACATAAGCATAAAGCCTTGCCATTAGAAGAAAATAAGTAAAGGTCATATAGGCGTTTTTAAGAGAAATGAGTAATATATCTATAACTTTAACTATAAGAAACTAGATTAACTATATACACTAAATCTACTTTCCAGCTTCTTGAACACATATATATTTAGAGTATTTTAATTACTATTATTTCTAGTATTGAAAAACTTACTTGATTTTAGCAATGCAGCAAGAGTGTCTAAAGCAACCCTGTTAACACAACAAGAAAACACAAACAACAACAAAACTAGTGAAATGGATCTACAGTAAACGCGTGCAATCTTGTCAAATACTATCTTGTCTATCGTCCATTCCAAATGCACTTACCCTTGCAACAGCACTGGTCTATCACCCATTCCAAATGCACTTACCCTTGTAACAGCACTGGTTATTTGGTGTTTATTTTGTGTGTATCTCTCTCTCAGTTCAAAATTAGATACTAAGATTAAAATACTCAAAGTGCTTGTAAGATTTTAATAAAATTAACATTGTCTAAGTCTTTGTCAGAAATTGGATAAACGAAATCAATTACAGTATGTACATTTGACCTTTAGAGAGTTCACAAACAACAAAAGTGAAAATTCAGGGGCACCAGTTACAAAACAATGAAGTAAGAACAAGTTTTAACAGTCTAGTTCAGGCCTGCAGAGGGCTGCGTGAGTCTTTAGCTTTCTCACATAGGTTGTTCGGTGCCAGTGATTGAACTCTGACACATGGGGTAACCGTAACCTGTGCAACTTGGAAGTAAACCTAATTATTATCCCCACAGGACATGGAAAGAGCCCTAAAAGTTGAAGGTACATACATTTTCTTGAACATACTCAGTTACACAGTGATATCCGCTGCCAATAATGAGCCATAAAGACACATTATCTATCATTGTAGAAAGCTGTGAACCAAATGGTTTATAAAAAGTAGGATACTAGGGGGGAAAAAAATGTCCCTCCATTTCAATTTCAAAAATACAAGCCTACATAGTATAAAATCTCCTTGTTGGTGTTAACTATAATTTTCACTAAAAATATGTGTAGTATCAAGATTAAGCATTTTACTCACCATCAAGCATTTGTTGAATGCCTACTACATACTCCTCCTTCATGGACAGATATTAAAACAAACATCACTTCAACAGATAATTTGATAATCTACATTAGGTAAGAGGATGTGTACACCTATAAAACTACATAAGAAATTAAAACTCTGGTGATGAATAGCAGGTCATGTGTTGGTGGTAACGGACAGAAACAGTGATCAGATGAAGAGATGCACAAAATGTAAGAGACCAGAAGGTCTGCAATGGATGAACACCAACCACAGTTAGACCTAGAAACAAGCATTCACAACTATACCAGAAATACATGGTTTGTGGATATGGAAGCTATGGAAGCTAAACTACAGTATGCCTAAAACCACACACACACACACACACACACACACACCACAGTCCTATAAGGAAAACAATATAAGCCACTTGTTGATAACAGGCGGGAATTACAAACTCAGAAAGGTGTTCCTTTAAGGAAATCAACAAGGGTTACTAGTGAGCTGTGTGGCCACCACAGCGCTCCCAAGGGCAGGTGGGGACATTCAGGGTGGGTAGGCCACAAAGGCAGTCATCAGAAAAGTACTTTCTGTTTGGACAAAGACCTCTGAGCCCATCAAATACTCAGGTGTGGAGCACCTAGGGTGGGTGGAGCACCTAGATGGGGAGGTGCTGCTACTGGGCACTTGGTGAAATCACAAGGGCCAGGCTCTCCTTTGGGACATCAAGGTTGCCTGCATCATTCAGTGGGATCTGCACGTCACTCATGTGCAGTCTCGCTATGGTGGACATGTCTATTTTGAAGACAGAACAGAGACACTTCTTGGAACTAAAGAAGACTGTCTGCTGTATGCAGGCAATGCCTAGAAGCAAGTCAAGCGTTACAGAAGACCAAAGAGCCTGCCTGCTAGAAACAGTTCCTGTCTGATGTGTAGGGGCTAGAAGCCAGTGAGTCTTACAGGAACTGTGCAGAGGCTCACCAACCAGCACCATCTGACCTTCAAAACCTGGGGACTCACTGCAGTCCCCTTTCCAGAACGGAAAAACACATGGAGATTCTGTAAGCAGAACCCAGACTCAAAAACACAATGGACTACAAGCCTGGCAGTTTCCTGGAATGCTGAAAATTCCCACTCTGTGGAGTTATCATACCATAAAGACTAAGTATAACAGTAACGTGAACTAAAACATGTTTATCATCACAGTTCCTATCCTCTTATAGCCTTAAAAGTGATTAAAACACTCTGTGGGCCTGGAGATATACAGCACTCAGAACTGTCTACCAAGCCAAAAAAAAAAGAGTACACCTGTGTGGACGTAGTAGCATCTTGTTCCGCCAACAGATTTGTGGAGCAGGGCTTATGGTATGGCTTCGGGGTGTGGACATGACCTCTTGTAAGGAAGAGAAGGGGCCTTGTTCTCTTGGGTTGTGTCTGAGCATAATGTACACCAGAACCCTGCGCCCGCAGAGTGGAAGAGAGCAGTGGCTCTTTACCTTCATTGTGTGAGTGTTCCTCAAATCAGTATCTGTTTTTCTTTATTCAGACATATGTGGACTTCGCTGCCCCACCTTCACAAGGATCAATTGCTCTCAAGTTTTACACTCCCTGAGGATGGACAGTATGTTGTGTCAGACAGGTGTGTCATACTGCAGGGTGAAATTGAGGAGAACTAGACACTGTTTCTCTGTGACAGCTTGTTTAACTTCTAGAATGTTATAAATCCCTCTGCACTGTGATAGATCTGTGGTAGAGCACCTGACCTTCATGTATAAGACCTGGGTTCACTCCTGGGTAGCAGGGGGAAAGTAGTACTTAAACTGAGACAAAATACAAACTCCTCTAAGCATTTCACAATTAAAGCTGCAGGACCCCCTGAATGACATGCATTCTTTACATCAAGGAGTGGATACCAATGAGCATTTCTTGCATTTCAATGTAACATTCTCTCTACCAAACATTTTGCTACAGATACTATCACAACCACCTCAAATAGCAACCTCAGATATAAGTGCACGAGACATTTCAAGGAAAGTGGCAAAATGAAGAGAGCTGACACATGCTGATAAAAAACATTAACACATGCAATTAACGTAATCGCTGTTACAAAATGAACTGCATTCCACACTTTAACCTCGGGGTCTAACCTTACCAGCAAACAGGGCCAGTGAAGATACAATCTGTTAAGGTCATAAGGCAGAGGTGGGCTCGTAACAAGCTTAGAGAAGACCATGCAAGACAAACCCACATGCAGAGTACCCTCTCCTGTGGATGAAAGCAGAAGCCCAAAGACTTGCCAACAGACCATCAAAACTAATGACAAAGTTTCAGAAGAGAAACTGAGGAGGGCTTCCAGGCTCGTGACCTGTGAGACAGCAAATGCTTGTCATTTCCAGCCACCACCAGTTCAGCCTGGGAAACTAACATAAGGCAATGAACACAACTACTTAATGACTTCTATTTTCTCGTCTTTAGCTAGCACTTTTCTAAGTGAGACTATGCATGTGTGCGTGTATCCGTGTGTGTGTGCATGGGTGCGTGTGTGCATGCGTGCGTGTTAGCGTGCACACACCCACGCGCTTTCAGGAGCCACAGGAGGAGTTACAGGCAGTTGTGAAGCACTGGACATGGGTGCTGGAACATGATAACCACTAAGCATTCTCTGCGACCCCTCCAGTTAACTCCTCACTCCTCCCAACTGGCCGCTGCTTACAACATACCTGAAACAAATAAAGTGCTTCTGAGAGCTTTGAATCTGAAACTAACCATTTCTGTTGATGTTTATTCTTCATGTTGGAAAGCTGACACACAGACACAATTCTCTTCTAACACAGCAGCGCTGAGTTTACTCCACAGCTGCAGTGAATTAAAAGAAACTATCCATTTACAATCATCTTGAAAACTTTTACCAAAACACTATTCAGAAGGTAATAAACTTCAGCATAAAACTCTGAAACCCTATGAAACTGATAAGCCAATGTGAATTTCTAAAAGGAATTCTAAATACTAAATTTACAAAATAATATGAACTTATGAAAGTCACAAAAATTCTTAAATATTTTATATGACTGATTCATAGTAGGTTAACTAAAGCTTCTCGCTTTCAAAATATTTATACTTTCTCCTAGAGTTTTCCAATTTTTTTTATTTTCCACCCAGAAGAATACTAACAACAAGAACCCAAAGGGTAGCCCATGAACAATGATGAAGGAACAGTTTATTTATTAGTGAAGTTAGCACACCGACTGTAAGCTGGAGGTCAGTCACAGCAATGACCTTCAATATGAGGTAGGCTCTGATACACCCTGACCGCTCTCCCTAAAGGAGGGAAAACAGAAACACAGGGACCCTGAAGAACGCAGCTGTAGCTTCCTGGATTGCCTCCTTCTGGACTAACAGTTTAAATCCAAAATCTAAAACCAGAAAAAGAAAAAAGGAAGAGGGACAGAGATGATGAGTCACGAAGGAGACACCATGTAGCTACCAGGAAGAGAGGACACCTGGGCATTCTCCAGTACACCAAGACCATATATTAATAGAAATGGGTTAATGAGAGCTGGCCAGTAAGAAGTCTCAGCTATAGGCTAAACATTAATAATTAATATAAGCCTCTGTGTATTTATTTTGGGACTGAACAGCTGCAGGGCTAGACAGAACAGAAACTTCTGTCAACAAGAATGGTTTAAAATAAATATAAACTTTTTTTAAAGTTCTTTTAAAAATACAAGCAGACCCCTCCTGCTCCCATCCTCCACCTCCCCACTCCCCAGCCCGTTTACCTAGGAAATCTCTCCTATTTTTCCTTCCCAGGTGAATCCATGAGTACCTCTTTGGGCATTCCTTGTTACTTGCCTAGCTGCTCTAGGGCTTTAGATTATAGTCTGGTTACCCTTTATAGCTAATATCCACTCACGAGTGAGTATATGCCATGTTTATCCAAATTTCATGTCATTGTTTTTATACTGCTGAGTAGTACTCCAATGTGTAAAGGTAACACATTTTCTTTATCAGTTCTTTAGTTGAGGGTCCATGTTCTAACTATTCTGAGTAACACTGCTATTAACATGGCTGAGCAAATGTCCTTGTGGTATGACAGGGCATATACTTTGGGTATATGCCCAAGATTGGTACAGCTGCATCTGGAGATATACTGATTCCCAATTTTCTGA